GTATTAATTTTTGCTGTAAAAATTAATGAGAGAGGGGTGCTTGGCTGGCTCAGTCCGAAGAGCATGCAAGTCTTGATCCTGGAGTCATGAGTTCGAGCCTCACACTGGGTGTAGAGATTACTAAAAAAAAATTACATAAACTTAAAAAAAATAAAGTAACAGATTTTCTTTAAAAAAAAATTATGAGACAGGGGTGCCTGGGTGGCTCAGATGGTTGAGCGTCTGCCTCCGGCTCAGGTCATGATCTCTAGGTCCGGGATTGAGTCCCACATTGGGCTCCTGGCTCAGCGGGGAGTCTGCTTCTCCCTCTCCCTCTGCCTCTCCCCCTGCTCATGCTCTCTCTCTGTATCTCTCTGTCTCATATGAATAAATAAAAAAAAAACCTTAAAAAAAATTTATGAGGCAGGTTTATAAAGAATGGTTTTCATATTTTTCTATGTGTAACCACATAGAAATAATGTATAATCAGTGTTCAATATCACAAAAATTAATTCTTTCCAAACTTTTGTGCATATGTTTAGGTACTTTCCTTCTGTAAATTCACAGCTTTTAGAGTCTCAAAGAGATCTAAGAATCAAAAACCTGGAGAAAACTCACTCCTCTGATTTAGATATTGACCTCACATAACACACATAATCATCGCTTAACAGTTCAAGAATTATATGGAAGAAAATCAAAACATCACACTTAGAAGAAAATATTTAGCGCATTTCAGGCTGAGAAAAAGCCTTCTGACCACAAAGGCAAAAGAGAAACTGATTTCAGCAAGAAAACACAAACTTCAGTAAATAAATGTAAAAAGTCATGAACATTTTCAAAAGAGAAAATACAAATGGAATGGAAAACATTTAAAAATTAATTTCTTTAATAATAAAAAAATTTGAGTTAAAATGAGATGATTTTGCCTATGATATCAACAAAGAGGTTTTTAAAAGCTATATAAGGAAAATTTGTGGAGGAGATGAGAATTCTCATATACCAGTGGAATAAGAGTATATTGCTACTTTTTTGAAACACAATGTTATAATGTCTGTCAAATGCTTTCAAAATGGTCATCTCTAAATTCTGTATAATATCTCGTATATGTGGAATCTAAAAAACAGAGAGGAGGGGGAGCTGAACTCTTAGAAACAGAGAGTAGAATGGTGGTTGCCAGGGCCTGGAGGGTAGGGGAAATGGGGAGATGTTGGTCAAAGGGCACAAACTTCCAGCTATGAGTAAGTTCTGGGGATCTACTGTATAGCATGCTGACTGTAGTTAACAATACTGTATTACATACTTGAAAGTTATTAAGAGAGTAGATCTTAAATGTTCTCCCCACACACATAAAAATAATAACTATGAGAGGTGATAAATGTGCTAACTAAGCTTATTGTAGGGATCACTTCCCAGTATATATGTGTATCAAATGTTTATGATGTACACCTTAAGTTTATAAAATGCTTTATGTCATTTATATCTCAATAAAGCTAGAAAAATGAAATTAAACTATACCATTTTTCCTCACATTATGAAATCACCAGTCATAAGTCAGTCAGAGGAGAGAAAGGTGTGAGACGATGTCTAACTGGACTACAGAACACAAACTACCCAACATGTCCCTTGAATATACATCTCTGGTTGCTACTTGTTGCCTCACCATTGAATGATGAAATATCTAGATATTTTAACAAAATCAAACTCAGATTTAACTTGATACCTATTTTCTTCACTCTCCAAAATTAGGCAAACTTTTTCAAGGTCTGTGTTCCACAGCAACACAAGAAAAAAAACTAAAAATGTATGCAATAAAACTGAGTGACATTCAAAAAAAATAAATCAATACGTAGAAGTCATTCTCTAGTTTAATAATTTAATTTTCAATAGTTTCTACCTAATGGGAAAAATCCAAAATATAGACAGAGATTTTATGAAGAAATTGTTTACCCCACTGTTAATGATAAAAAAGTAAAAATCAATCTATATTAAGGGAATGATTAAGTATATCAAGGCATACGACAGAATATGCAGTCATTGAAATAATGTTTGCAATGAGTTTCTTGAATGACATGATCAAAAGTGATAATGTGTTAAGTGGGGCAAAAAAGAGGTAGTAAAAATATGCTAAGAAGAAAATTTTAAGGAAATATGACACGTTTATGGTAGCTGTTTCCAGGTAACATTTGGGTGATTATTTTTATTGCCTGAACTTTGCAAATTATCTACAATGAGTACATATTACTGACACTCAGGGAAGTTAAATAAAAATAGAGTAACCACAGAACCCAGATCACAAGTAGGGGCAGAAATATTTTAAAGAAAAAGAAAAATGTCATCTTGTATGAATGAGAAAATAATGAGTATAAATTTTCAAAACAACTAATGAGAGAAAAACTTTTGTTGTTTACTTCTTGGCTTAGCTGTTTGATGATGTGGATATGGTTGAGTTCTTTTTAAATGGCAAATCATAAACTGGTCATTCAATCCAAACTGAAAAACCAATTTCTCAGGTAAGAATAGGAGACAGTTTGGGGCTGGTTAGGATTTTTCCCCCAAACAGTATGATTTATAAGAAGGACTGAAATAATAGTTGAAAAATAGGAAAAGGTAAAGGAAGAGCTTCCTGATGTTTTAAATTTTGCTTTTTGAGAAAAGATCTTTTAAATTTGATAAATTCTCTAAAGAAAACTTGGGAACTTTGAGTTGCAAAATAATTGAAAGAAAAAGGATACAAAGCTAATCAAATCAGGAGATGAAGACCTTCCCTGTCTCACCTCCCGGATGAGATTCATTACAAAGGAACCAACAGACTCCCTGCTTGTCAGAGGCTGAATAGTCCTGCTGAATGCTTCTTTCATCCATTCCTAAGCTCAAAGGAGATTTTAAACTTTAGCATTAAAACTTTAATAGCTGTCAAACTTCCTCTGCATAAAGCAATCTTATGTCAAACACTACTATTTATTTTTATTTTTATTTTTAAGTAGGCTCCCTGGCCAGCGTGGAGCCCAATGCAGGGCTTGAACTCATGACCCTGAGATCAAGACCTGAGCTAAGGTGAAGAGTCGGACACTTAACCGTCTGAGCCACCCAGGCACCCCAAACCCTACTATTTTTAATACTGAATATTGCTTACATAAAAACTGATAATATAGGGCGCCTGGGTGGCTCAGTTGGTTAAGCGACTGCCTTCGGCTCAGGTCATGATCCTGGAGTCCCGGGATTGAGTCCCGCATCGGGCTCCCTGCTCGGCAGGGAGCCTGCTTCTCCCTCTGACCCTCCCCCCTCTCATGTGCTCTCTCTCTCTCATTCTCTCTGTCTCAAATAAATAAATAAAATCTTTAAAAAAAATTAAAAAAAACCCTGATAATATAAAGATTAGAGGTAACCAGTATATCTAGCACTTGGGATTGGTTAAATTATGGTAGATACAGACTATGCACTGTGGATTATAAACCTAAATGTACACAGACCAGGTAGCTAACATAAATGAATGAAGTGGGCCTGGGTTGGGATTTGGGGGCAGTGGAGACGTGATTTGAAGAGGGAATACTTTATCTAAGGAAGACAGCAACTACTTGATTCCTGTCAGTTGGCTTTGTGGAAAGGTGGGCCCCGGTGTTGCCAGAATCTCCTACTTTTAAAAAAATTTTATTTGGAAATAATATCAAATTTAAAGAAAGTTGCAAAAATAAGAAATAGTAAAAGAACACCTATGCCCTTTACCCAGATTATCTTACTGTTAATATTTGACTTGGTATGTATTCTTTCTCTCTGCACACACACACACACACACACACACAAACACACACACACATTGTGTGTATGTTTGAAATATAAATTGAAATACATAGACACAATTTTTTCTGAACTATTTGAGGATATGTTAACATGTTATTATGACCCTTTACTCCTACTCCACGGCATATTTCCTAAGAATAGAAACCCTACTATTTTTGAGATGGGGCATCTGGAGTGGGATGATGAAGAGAGCATGAGGAGGTTGTCTCCTCCTGGCCACTAGGGACTAGACAATCAGCCACTTTTTCTCCCTCTGTAACACCAAACCAAGGTTAAATACTATTGCACTAGACAACTGCCATTCTATCAGTAAAAACAAAATCTCCGATATATGTACATTTATTTATCAATTGGATATATGTACTAATCTTCTAAAACATTATGTACCTTATAAAACATATTGTTAAATGAAGATAAAATAAAATTAAATACAAATACAAGTTTATAGTGTTCTTCCTGCGCCCTTGAAGGTGTGTACCTCCCCACCTTGGGTGCCATTCTTCTATACCGTGGTAGCTGAACAGGAAAAGGACTGCCACCATATCCAAAGCTGAGTCTGGGTTCTGCTCCCCAGTGTACCTCTCTTAATGTCTGCCGGCTCTCTCTATCACAATACTCTGTTTTATTGCCTTCATAGTGTTTATTGCTCCTGGAAGTCATCTTGCTTATTTATGTGTTTACTTGTTTATTTCTTCTCCCTGCCCCCTGCCCCCCGCAACTCTTCTCTACTAGAATATAAGCTCCATGAAAGCCAGGATCTTCCTGTCTTGTTCATTCCTAATCCTTCCACCCCTAAAAGGGGGTGGTTCATAATGGGTGCTCATTAGATACTCCCTGGCTCACATTCCAGCTCTATCCCCTGCGTGGTCCTCCATTCTCCTAGCAGATGAGAGGACAGGTCCCCTGACCCCCTGCAGGAAGCCAGCAATACCCTATCCTACCCCTTTGAGAAGCTTCTTTGCTTAAAAAACACCTGTAGAGGGTGAGCAGCAGAAGACAATCTTCCTCTTCACGTAAAACCCAGGGCCACAATCTCAAATCCAGAACTTAAAAAATACATATAATTACAATATTTCTAAAGACATTTCTATTTTTTTTAAAAAAATAATTAATTGTAAGTCAAATTATTATTTTCACACAAAAGCTATCATTTTCCCTCAATCCCTTCAGGCTGTTCTTGCAGGTTCTGCCCTGGGAGGATAAAAAGGAAGACGAGCAGGTACCTGATGGTTTTCCACACATCGAAGCCGTCCAGAGGCTTGGTGCCATTTGTGCTTCCCCGGGCCAGCTTCACGAGTGTCGGCAGCCAGTCAGAAATGTGGATGAGCTCCCGGTTCTTCAAACCCTTCTGTTTCAGCAAGGGGCTTGCCACAAAGCCCACCCCTCGAATGCCTCCTTCCCACAGGCTCCATTTTCTTCCTCGAAGGGGCCAGTTATTGCCCCCTGCCAGAGTCTGTCCTCCATTATCTGAAACACAATTAGGTCTTTGCATGAGGACAACGCTAGACACATTTAAGAACACACGACTTCTGTGTTGCTTTTAAATGGGGCTTAAGAACTAAAAAAGATGCCCCCTCCTTACTGCCTTCAGTACCAACCTCCCCTCTCCCGCCCAACACTCCCTCCATTACACAGACATAATCAGAGTGTAGCGTGGCACCAATCTGACACGAGACCTTCAAATCCCTTTGGATAGGGTCGCTGAAAAACAAGCAAGTCCCCGGAGGATATCTGCTTGGGATAGAGCCCTGTATAAATGATCAACGACTAGGCTGCAAATGCATGTGTGCAATTTTGTGTGACATAGGAGAAAGAATCCAGGTACACTGAGCCCTTTCCCATCCACAAAAAGAACCCTCAAGTGACATTCCACTCCGTGAGTTAAAGCTCCTGATAAGTTGGGGACCTTTTTATTTTACTCACCTGGAAAAACTTTCTAACATTTACACTGGTAACTAAATTAAACTTCTACTCCCTGGTGATGTGAACTCTTTCTTAGGTGTGAAAGTTGAAGATGTCTCCAGTGGGCTAAATGTCTCTTGTAAACACACCAGTCGAGTGGAAAAAGTAATTGCAAGAAAAATTCCTCCCTTCTTGACAGAATGGCAAGACAAAGCTTCAACTGATGCACTGTGCCAGGGAAGAGAAAGCTTCTCTTCCAAGACAACTGAAGTTGAAGCCAGAGGTGAAGTTACAAGAGTGACTGAAATTAAGTATCTTACCAGCTGGGTGGAACTCAGTTAGAAATTAAGTTGGACTGTAGGAGGAAAAAAAAAAAAGGTGGTATTTCTTGTATACTGAGGTTGTAGAATCATTGGTATCTCCAAAAGCACCCATACATTCAGGGGACTCCACAGACACTTTTGAAATAACCCTTATTTGCATACATATTACCCCTCAATTAAATCTTTTTTTCAAACCACTGTTATCCAAATGAACCACAGGAGGGCAGTAGGACAGACCTACTAGAGTCTGTAGAATGTTGTACGTAAAAATCCAACGCAGAAATCAAGACCAAAGCCACAGGAAACACACGGAAAGAAAAAGAACTGGTATTTGTTAAGCAACTACTATGCACCAGGCACCACTTTAAGTTTACAGTATCTCTCCCAGAATCTGAAGTCTGAGAGACCTGCAATTGAAGCCTGATGCCAACCGCGCACTAGCCATGTGACCCAGGACAACACGATACCTCAGTTTCTTTATGTTCAATGTGGAGAGAAGAATTCCTAGCTCAGGTATTATGATGAAAATGAAATGACACTGTTTATGATCATTTCTTGGCTGGGTACCTGGCATAACCTCAGTGCTCAGTAAATGGTAGCTAATATTTATAACTCAGTCTAGTATCATAACCGTTTCGTTTTTAGGAAAAAAAGAAGAAGAAGAAGAAGAAGTTTGAAAAGTCCAAATAGCTAATAAGGGGCAAAGCTAGGATGCGAACAAGGTCTGCGCGACTCCCCAGGTGCCTTCTGTCCCCAGAGTGCCGTGTTCCTGATGTCCCCGGTATGCAGTGGGTTTTATACCTACAGGCCACATAACGGCTCCCTGCCCTATGAAAACCATAAGCACAGACTCAGCAAAGTGTATACTCTTCCTTTTGATATAGCAGAAGGTGACGATATTTCCCTTTAGAGGAACCTTTGTTGCTGGCGGGTAAGAAATTCAAGGCTCTACTGCCAAGGAGACTTCTGTTCAAATCCTTAGCACACGAGGTGCCTGGTTCTTCTCTGTGCTTCATGAAGGGAGGGAGAAGAGTGGAGCTAGGTTACATGAAGGTGACAATTCTTCAACACATGGGTTGGGGATGATGTGTCTCATCATTTGCCATCACAGACTTACAAGAACCTTTCCTTAAACCCTACATCTCTTCTTGACCAAAAGTCAAGGACCAAACAGTCACCCAAGTCAGCTTATTAAATACACTTTCTACTTTACAAGAACAAACCTGTATATTCAAAACAAGAGGCCACCATCCTTCTGACAGAGGGGATTCCTCCATACTCTGTATACTTCAGAGTATCAGTCACCCGTAGCCAACATTTCAAAACTTAAAAGGAGGTGCTGTTCATATTACACAAGAGTACACTGGAAAGAGAAGTTTATACTCTGCCTGTGAGGTCAAGAATGGCCAAGTCAGCAGCACTATTATTTTGCTCTATTATCTAGACTGCTATAAACGATACTGGCTCAGGGCTTGTAGAAGATGCCTGTTGTCTCCATTTTAACTAGATGCACTCCTTTGAGATAGTCTATAATGTCTCGCAGTTCCACGTACTTGCTAGCGCTCAGTACAAAAATACTAGACGGTGGTGGAGGAAATGCGTGTGGAGATGAGGAGGAGGAGGGTGGCTGGGTCTGCTATCTGACTCTTGGAGCAGCCCTTCGGGTATGACTCAAAAAGGAAAATACGCTGTGCCGGAAGGAGAACGTGGCCACTGTGGCTACTGTCGGAGCTGGAAGGTGCTTCCACATCTTATGAGGGGAGGGCGCCGATGCGGTGAGCAGGACTGTTTTTGCCGCTAGTTCACTGGGCTGTGTTTCCCATTAGCAATGGGAAGGCATTCTGTCCTCTGTTATCAGTCACATTTTCCAGAGCACTCTGGAGAGAAAGCACTGTCGACAAGCACACCGCGACTTCTTCTCTCGGACTCCCCTGTCACAGAGCCGAAGCACAACCAGCAGCACGAAGAGGGCAATTTGGCTTTGCCAGGGGTCTGCATCTCCACAGGTGGCCCCTGCCTGATGGCTGCCACTGAGCAGCAGGGCCGCAGGACCCACAGCTGGGCTCTCCATGCATCAGTTCCGGCACAGCCTCCTGGGTATTTCAAGAAGCTGGACATAAAATTGATCACAGTTGCTGTAAGACTACAGCAAGCTCATTTGGAATAAGGTTTCCTATATTGTTCACTTAAACCTGACAAACGAAAATTTAAAAAGACAATGGAACTATCACATTTCTTTTCACTCGCTCTCCTAATTTTCTTTTGGGCAAAAGGTAACTTTTGTTCTTGCTAAGAATTAATTTTCAAGAGAAAATTTTCCCGTTTCATTTCCTGACTGACTTATTTATGAAAAAACTTCCAAATCAAAATAAGATGACTCCCAACTAGTAAAGGAAGCTCTGAAATTTTTTTTTTTTTTTTTTTTTTTTAGGGAAATAGTTTTGCAGCAATGTTTCTGGCAGAGGGAAAACCTAATTATAAACACTTTGCCGTCTAGAAAAGAAATGTCAAAATAAAACAAATGTCATATACAGATGGTGAATCTCACTTTATCATTCCTTCCTGAACAAAAATAACTGTCAAAAAGTCTTGGAAAAACATTGGTTAGCCAATGATCTAAGCAAATGCATTAAGTGTATGACAATGAAGCCTCATCCTCATCCAGCTGATAGAAGTTCAGATGCAACCATGACAGAACTTTCATTTTTAGGACTACTCCCAACAGGGTAAGGCTGTGGCTTGGCCGTGGGAGGCTGCCCTGAACATCAGTGTGTATTTCTATCTCATTGCTCCCTCAACTGGGCTTACCCGAGACATCCTCCTCTCTCTGACTCAGGGATCCTGAAAGAAAAAGCAAGAAAGGCTCCAAGGCCCTTGCACCAATGCCCGGACTTGGCTCTGAACAGGGCCAGCAATGTAAGTGTGACAGATAAATAGACAACATGACTTCAAACACCAAGATGCCGCCTTCTCTAAAAAAGAGGACCCGCTTGCTGATGGTTGATTCTTTTAGACTAGTTTTTTTTTTTTTTTAATTTTTGACTAAAAGGCAAATTGGAGGGTTAATATGTGTCTTAGAAGTCACCTAGAGGATTTGGTAAATTCAATCTTCTCCTACTAAAAGATCTTGGAAAAAATATCTACCTGGACACTAATTTACAATCTAATGTTCTTCTCTTTCCCTCTTGTTCTACATTCAATTTCTGATTGAATGTGCATTCCCTTCTGCTGAGTCTAACTTTCAAATGGATTTCAAGCCCATCCACCCCCATCTACCCCAGGGCCTCGGGTCTGGCACTCTTCCCACTTGGACACATGGCAACCTACAGATTGCTTCACTTCGCTGTCAGAGGCATCCCTGTGAAGCCCCAAACCAATCAAGTCTTGTTCGTGTTTAAAGATCTCTAATTGCTTTCTAATCAGGAAAAACTTCAGCCCACCTAGAGAATCCATTACATCTGGCCCCAACCTACTTACTGGGCATCAACACCTGCCCTCCTCCATAAAAAGTGCCTTGTGCTGGGCCACCTGGCTGGCTCAGTCAGTACAGAGTGCGACTCTTGATCTCGGGGTTGTGGGTTCGAGCCCCACGTTGGGTGTAGAGATTACTTAAAAATAAAATCTTAAAAAAAGAAAAGTGCTCAGTGCTTCATTCATGTAGAACTAACTTCGCCTTGTCGTTAGGATACGTCATGCCCTTTCATGCTGACTTTGCCTCTGTACCTGTTGGTTCCTCTGCCTAAAATGCTCTCCCTCTTCTTTCCTGCCCGACTTAAATTTTGATTCTCAGGATAAATGTCACATCTTCTGTTAACTTTTCATTTACCGCCCCCCACCACTACCCTGCCTAGATAGTCTCTCTGTATATTGTACTTATTTCTGTATGTTAATTCGTTGTTCATGGGTTCGTCTTCCCAGGGAACTCTGCCTCCCAAGGACAACAACAATGTCTCATTCTTCTTTGCATTTCCAGGACCTAGCACAGGGCCCACCAAAGAGAAGGGCTCAAGAATTGGGGGAGGGAGGGTGTGGGTAAGGAACAATAAACAAATGGAAAAAAGGCCACCAAAAATTGAGAATGAAGGCACTAAAAATTTACTTTGATTATTGGATGGTGTTTTCTGAGCCTTCATCCAGCCACTCTATGACCTTGACTTTTAGGAAACTGTTCCATACACAGGTGCTGCTTATTTAACAGGACGTTGCAGGGTCAGGGGTGGTTCCTGGTCCCCGTGAGGATTT